TTGTTTAGTCCCTGAGCATTTTCGCCTTTCTCAACATACGTACATACCTTAAGTACGTACCTTAAGTTCATATTAGTTACGTAGAAAAGATGAATTTTATAACGACATCGTTTAGGCCAACTTTATATAGTTTTGCACTATATATTTTTGCAGTATTTATATTATTTCTTTGTCCTTGAGCATTAACAGATATTTCTACACTAAACTAGAGAAAATTGAAGAAATAACATTGGTACCATCAGACATAATGTAAATTTTTATTCGCGTATACTGTTGAAGAGCAAGAATCTTAATCCAATAGACATTTTATCCAAATTGCGCAACAAATGGGCCGCACAATGGTGTTAACTAATGTTGGAGGATCTCACATATCGTCACTTAAAAATTTTCCTTTTGATTTCTATTATAATGTTGATGAATTAAGCAAAAAATTTGCGCAAGTAAAATTTATTTTACAACATGAATTTCAAAAATGGGCCGAAGAGCGATACAATAAATCAGATACCATACATGTGTCGCTTGAAAATTCAGGGTCTAATCCAAATTATACAATTCAATATGACACCCCATACGTTGATAACCTTTTAAAAAAATATGGAATGGATAAATTTAATTTAAAATTAAATAATTCAACAATATTTAAACGAATAGGCATTGGTACTAATGGCAGAGATCCGGTACAAGGTAGTGAAAATAATGATCTAAAAAAATTTTTATCAAACGAATTAGAAAGTAATGTTGAAGTCATGCTGATAACACAGGAAGGAATACGAGGTCCTATATTTGAAAGACTTACACCGATGCCATATGCAAGTCATATAACCAATGCAGCTTCAAATATTACAAACAAATTAAAACCATATATCGCAATTCATTGGCGTATGGAAAAGGGTAAATTAGATCTTATGTCAAAATGCGCTGAAGGTCTTGTTACTTATATAAGAAATTTTTCATTAACAAGCGGAATTACAAACATTTATTTGGCTACGGATTATCCACTTGCCGAATATGAGCATAATACGCCACAGTCAAATACATTTGAACATATACATGAAGAACACCATATAGCAATGAGAATTTTAAATTCTTCACTTAATATAAACACTTGGGTTTCAACACACGCATTAGATTATCTTAAATTTACACTATATCCTACAAAAAGAACAATTACAAAAGGAACTTAGAGGTAGTGGTATCCAAGGAATCTTTGATAAATTAATTTTAACACGAGCCGATTATTTTATAAGCGGTCCTGAAAATTGTTGTAGATACAAAAGTACTTATACAACACAAGTTAAGGAAACAAGAGAGGAATTATTTAAAAATAACGGATCAATTAAAAATGTTATTGATTGGTGGGGACTATACTAGTTTATAACATCCATATTAAAATTTTTAATTGAGATTTGACACGTATATTTCGAGAATTACAGTGATAGCATCTTTATAATTTCTAAATAATAATTACAGAGCATTAATTGTTGGCCAGGCCAAGTTTGGCAGGATCGGACCATAATTGCAACTAGCATAACCCGTTGTGATTTGATAAATATATTGATTATTACAAGGAACCGGAAGGGTATTACCACTTTTTTGAAATATCTTTATAATTGTATTAAGATTATAATTTGGTCAGAGTTCTTTGTTATATTTAAGATAGCTACAATTACAAGATAAATGTGAGTATTATGGGGAATGAAGAAAATCTAAGTAATATTATAAAATTTGAGTGTCGCCAAGGGAAAACCGGCAATTTTAAA